ATTCTACCATCTTCTGCGTATTCCTCTGCGCACGCTCACACCTGGTAGCACTCCACGTTCGTCCAGTCGACCAACATTATGTCCACCACCAACACCGCACCCCATCAGGCGGTCCTCGCACTTTTGCGTCGCGATTTTGCCGACAACGATACCGCGCTACTCCTTGGCGGGATGGCTCCCGATTACCAAACTCGCCTTGTGGAAGGCATCGGTAGCACGATTGATCTCTCGGTCGCTGAAGCTACGGCCGCCCAGAAGGCATTGGAGGAACAAGTCACCCAAATGTCTTCGCACGGGCGATACCTTGAATATTCTCTTCGCTTCGCTCGCCAGAAAATTGCATCCCTTGAAGAACAAACCTCCACCATGACGTCACATGGTCGCCTCCTCGAATATTCCCTGCGCATTGCTCACGATGAGATTGCGCGCCTCACGCGCGCTTCGGAGTCGGCAACGTCATGGCCTTCTCGCCTGAAGTCGATTAAGCTGTATGTTGCCAAGTCGGCGGAGCGGAGTCGCTTTTGCGATGTCGCATTTGAAGGGTTGTACAGAAGATTGGGCGTTCTCTAAACGCTTGACAGACCGCCACTGCTTCCCATCTTTCGCGGTCTTTGAGACCGAACTGAAGGCAATGTCCCTGCCACCCAACAGCGACTTTCGTTATCGCTCGCAATATCTGGTTTGCAAGCAAGGGAAATGCTCCCTTCGTGATCTTCGCTTCTTGGCTGCGAATATTAATGATGAAGTGTCACTCCCGGAGCACCTACGGGTGATCGTTTTCATGGACGGTCTCAACCAAGGCCCGACGCGCACACAGCTGTTTCGCGCCTACCCGGACACCTTCCAAGAAGCCGTCCGAATCGAGCTTTCGGAATTATTTTCCTTCTCCTTCGCGCACGTACGCGCGACGTCCTCCGACATGGATGTCTCCATGATTGCCCAGGCATCGGACGACCGCACGTGTTTCAATTGCGGTCGCCCGGGACAGTTCTGCCGCGCATGCCCGGCCCCTTGCCGTGTGGTGTCAGCCGCTCCTCCCACACACGGTTCCTCCCGTGCCGCGCCTGATACCCCTTCGCATCGCCCTCCGAACGGTCCACCTAACCGCTTCAATCGTGAACACCATGGTGGCTCACGTCCGCTATTCCGCCCCGCTCCGAGCTCCAGTGCGGCGGGAAACGGTCCCTCCCAGTAGGCGCCATGCCACCTACTGGGGACACCCTAGGTCCTTTGGAGGTGTGTGGCTTGCTGACACACTCTCAGGACCTAGCCTCAGACACAGACCTTCTTCTGTGTCGTGTTGGCCTCCAACCCAACAAAATTATTTGTTTGGAACTTGTCGTGCCTGGCTTCCCTGCCAGGTTCTCTGCTTTATTCGATTGTGGTGCGTCGAACAACTACGCCATCATCGCATCATCGACCTTCCCCGTCCACCACCAACCCACTTGGTCCTCCGTTAGAGGCGATGAGTAATGACCTCGCTTCTCCTAGCCCCGCAGTGCGCTCATTGGCCCCAGCGCCCGCGGCTCTAACGGACCCAACGACGGTGCTGCACAACACCCCTTTCGTGCCCCCAACAGAGGCGCCCTCTGTTGTTATCGGTTAGGCTCGGTTATCGCCCCCGATAGCTGCCTCGCCCTCGGCGGCCACGTTTATCGAAGAAACGTGTAACTTGAACGAACTCCCTCG